TTTGGCCCCTTTTCCTCCATCGCTTAAAATTTCTTCAGATGTCCCATGTTACAGAATATGATACAAATCCCTTAGCATGCTATAGTAGGCCCTTCATTACCAATCCAAATATCTTGATCTCTGTACCTTGTCCCCAAATCTGTACAACCTCCATACCAACCCTACTATCATCCTGAGCTCTTCAAATCTTTTTCTGGTCATACTCTCTTCTCAGATACCCAGGTAGAAGTAGGTATATGCTCCTTTAAGTCCACCAGTATCAGTCAGGTTTTGCTGTAGTAACAATTCCAAATTAGAATGACAAACATTCATCTCTTGCTTATTTACATGCATGCAGAGGGATGAGCTACAGGTCTGCACCAAGCTGTAGGTTAACTTTGGGTTTGCAACACAGGACTTTTCTTCATTCTGGACCCCGACTGAAGGAGCAGCTATTGCCTAAGGCATGCTTTCCTTGTGGCAAATATCAGAAGTGCACGTTGGAGTCCAACTGAAACACGTAGTTGCATTTAAAGCTTCCTCTCACTTGTGACATACATCTTTCTAGCTGACATCTTAGGACAGCTATGCAGTAAATGGAACCACATTCCATCGTGTTCCTGGCACCCCTGTGACTATGGAACCTGATGATAGATTCAACTTTGGGGACAAAAATGGCAGAACAAAATTATAAACTTCAAAAACAGTTAAATCAATCGATGTCAGCTTGCTGTTTCAATCATTATAGGAAAACATTTGCATATGCTTCCAGCTATGAGTGACCAAAAGGACATTCATTCTGTAATTCCCCAAAGAAAAATTACATTTTCCTGTATATGCAGCTGAAGAGCTAAAACCTAGGAATAAGAAGTAGTGGCTGGAGACTTACAGGTTGTCTGTAGTTGTTTTCTCTCCACTCTGCCTTATCTCCATATAAATTTGGGTCCCAGCTTTTGCTGGGTTGTCAGCCACAAATGTGGATCAACCCCTGGAGAAGACAATGGCATTGTTCAGCAGTCAAGAGCCCAGTTGGCCACAGTGACTGGTCGCCTCCATTTCACTGCTTTTTACAGATTTATTTTGTAACTCCATGGGTATTGAAATTACTATAGAAGTTAGATTCATATGGGAGACTGCCAGGTATTTTGTGGTGCTTCATTCAGCAATGTATGTATTAGAGAACATTGGGAAAAATTGTATGAACCCTGTACTATAATTTGTAATAAAATATATTGAAGATTAAAAAAAAAAAAAAAAAAGCTCAGCTAAAGCAAGTTGCATGGCCAAGCCCAACATCAGTGATGTAGGGAATTTACCCCTTCTAGAGAAAGACAGACAGGTTGAATACCAGGGAAAAATCATACAATTTACTCCACTGCCCAAGACTTGGTATATATTTTCATTATTGCACCCCCCCCCCCCAGAATACTTTATTTATTTAGCTATCTTTCTTCTCTAGACTTTAAGCTTCTGAGGGTCTGATTTGTTCTTTTAGACCTTGCCAGGACTTACTACAGTTGCTGACTAGGTAAATAAATTAATGATTGACCCAACAATTCAAGATGGGAAATGCAGGACAAAAATTAGGTTTGTTGAAGTTAATGAGTTCAGCACCAACCTCATAAGCTAAATGTGTTCTGAGCACTGTCCTGGTAATGGAACTGTCATTTTTAATACAGTTACTAAGAGCTAATGTGTTCTGAGTTCTATACTATCAACTTAGAATCACTCTTTTGGAAAAGGGCTAATGAGCTTTAAACAGCCGATAATTTTTTAAAAATAGACTTTACTTTTTAAAGAGGTTTTAGGCTCACAGCAAAATTGACTGAAAGTTACAGAGATTTCCCATGTTCTCCCTTCACCCATTCATGCTTGGCCTCCTCCATTATCAACATCCCCACCCGAGTGCTAGTTTGGCTATAATTGATGAACCAACACTGACACATCATTATAACTCAAAGTCCATAGTTTCCCATAGTGTACTTGGCATTGTACACTCTATGGGTTTGGGTAAATGTATAATGATGTGCATCCACCATTACTCTACGTGTCATATAGAATAGTTTCACAGCCTATTCACACCTCTCTCCTCCCCAACCCCTGGAAACCATTAATCTTTTTACTGTTTCCATAGTTTTGCATTTTCCAGAAGACATCAGTTGGAACCATACAGTATACAGCCTTTTCAGATTGGCTTCTTTCACTTAGTAATATGCATTTAAGTTTCCTCCATGTCTTTTCATGATTTGATAGTTCATTTCCTTTCAACACTTTCAACATTTTCAACATTTCATTGTCTGAACGTATCATTGTCTGAACACTTTCAACATTTCATTGAACGTATCACAGTATATTTATCTATCCATTCATCTACCAGAGGGCATCTTGGTTGCTTCCAGGTTTGGGCAATTATCACTAAGCTGCTATAAACATCCATGTGCAGGTTCCTCTGTGGACATAAGTTTACAGCTTCTCTGGATAAATACCAATGAATGTGATTGCTGCATTATGCGGTAACAGTATTATAAGAATTTTGTAAGAAATTGCCAAACTATCTTCCAAAGTGGCTGTCCCATTTTTATTCCCACCAGCAATCAGTGAGCCTTCCTGTGGTTCCACATCCTTGTCAGTATTTGGTATCATCAATACTCTGGATTTTGGCCATTCCAATAGGGGTGTAGTGGTATCTCATTGCTTTTGTAATTTGCATTTCCCTGATGACATACGATGTGGCACATCTTTTCATCTGCTTATTTGCCATCTTTATATCTTCTTTGGTGAGGTGTCTATTTAAAGTCTTTGGCTCATTTTTTAGTCAGGTTGCCTATTTTCTTATTGTTGAGTTGCCCATAATTTTTTAATTGACTGATTACCTTGATTTTAAATTTTCTCAAATCTTGAATATAAACACTGGCAGTTTGAGAGTTGACTTTCTTACTGCCAGAAGCTGCCATTATAAAAGACTAATTAAATAGTTGTAAAATATGGATAGCCTCAGAACTTGAAAATGGCAGTAAGGGAGAAGGGAAAGAGACAGGAGACCAGAGCTTTATAGACTCCAGGGAGTCCTTGAACCTCTGAAATGGCATGTACACTTATTGAGAGAAATAAACCATGGTTTTGCATCAGAGTCTTAAAGGGATTTTTAAATCACAAAAGGTTAAATAAATTGATTGTTCTCAAGAGAAGATAAAAGAAATGTCATTTTTATTTATTCCCACGTAATAGTATTAACAATAATTTGTTGAACATTTACTTTGTGAGCTGTAACTGTTCTAAGCACTTTTATAGACATTCTCGTTTAATTTTGCTCCATTATTATTATCTTTAACTTTCCAATGAGGAGACTCGGGCTTAGAGAAGTACTGTTAGTTATCCCAGGTCATGTGCTTAGTCAATGGCAGAGAGAGATGCCCAAAAAGCTGCCCTCTCAGCCAGTATACTGTATTTCTTCAGTCCTTAACTTAATTTTACTTTACCCCTCTTGGTTTCTCTTAATAATTTTGGTTAAAAAATAGCTTTTAAATTTAGCTCCCTGGCAGTCACAAACAGGCCAGCTCTCAGATTTCTGGCAGGACAACCCAGTTTGCATGTCATAAATATAACTGGAGACATAACCAGACACTTAAATACATTTTCATCATTGTGCAATCTTACTAATGGATCGGCCTCAGAATCCAAGTGGAAAAGTTGTGGTGCCTCACCTAACTGGCAGGCACTTTCCAAGTCCTGTTCGACTATTGAATTCTGCTCATTAGGTTAATGAAAAGCAAATTTGCAGTCGACCTGGTGATGTAAAGCATTCTAGCAGCAATAAATTCATATGGAATTTATTTATCGGTTCTTATTTAAATAGTTGCAAACCTCTAGAAATGGTCCTGCATGTTATGGGAATTCATTTGCTGAAGATAACACTGAAAATCTGTCGCATTTCCAGAGATCCTCTTTGAGAGAGATATTTAAATGAGAACATTAAATTGATTGTACCAAATGTGATGAGTGATAGGCCATATTGTGTGTGCATTGGAATGGGTGTTGGGTTTATGGTCTGCCTGAACTTAGCAATAAATCAGTGGTAGTCACTTTAGCGGAAGAGTTCAGCTTCTCCACTCACCTTTCATCTCTGAATGGTTACTCTGCATATTTTGCATTTACATTTGCAAAGTGCTTTTGTCCTCCAAATGTCACTGTATATGCAGGCACATTTTATGATTGCTAGTTCAAAGGTGAAGACATTGGCATGGCTGTGAGGGGCGGGGGATTGACTGACCAAGGTGCTGGGGCACCTCTGAAGCTGTCATTGTGGTCATTCCTCTGACATTACTGCCTTCATATATCTCTTTTATGTGTTCCCTTCCACTTTCCCTTTTCTGTTGTTTTTTTTTTTTCCTTTATGCTTCCCTGTGATATCCCACAAATATGACTTAAATTACAGGAAGCAGCACATAGCATAGTGAGTGAGAGAAAGAGCTCAGGAGTCAAACAGATCTAGCCCAGCTGATGTGACCTTGGACAATGAACTCAACTGTTAAATGGGGTTAATAAGATATCCTTTACCGAACTGGTGTGAGGATTTTATTCAATTAGATCATATCTGTATATTGCCTGTTACAATTTTTGTTCCATCATCAGAAATAAAACAATATGAAACAGAAACAGAACCATTAAAGGTTTACCTCCATGGCACAGACCACAGGCTGTGGAATTTTTATTAAAGGAGAAATGACTTAGGCTGGGAGTAATTTAGGCTTCGGAACAATACTTAATCTGGCTGCAAAGAAGGGCAGGATCTGGGTAAGTCAACAGGAAGGGAACTATGTATCTGGGGTGATTCTGGACACTTCCTCCATAAAAGGAGAGTCTAATTCCCCTCCCCTCACACATGGGCTGACCTTGGTGCTTTGCTTCTAAGGAGTAGAATGTGGTGGAAGAGAGATTGGGTGACATCTGCTACTAAATTAGAAAATGTGATAGATACAGTGTGTCATTCCCTGTATTATCTGTTTGTCTATCCCCTTCAGGGACCTGAAGCTACTACCATGGGACCACGTGGGGAGACCATACAGAGCTAGAGATACATGCCCACAGAGCTCCAGCTGTTCAAGTCTTCACTGCTTTGGCCCCAGGTATGTGAGTGAGCCTTCAGATAATCCCAGCCCCAGCCACCAGCCAATAGTAACCATGAGAGACCTGAGTGAGAACTGCCTAGCTGAGCCTAGTCAATGGCTAGAGCCCTGAAAGAGAGTAACCAAATGTTATTTTAAGCAATTAAATTCACTATGTTACTCACCCATAGTAACTGGAACAATAACCCAAGACATCAGAGCACTTATAAACCAAAGCAAATTTACGAATTGAATAATAAAACTCCTAAACCAGTTTTATTTGGTTTCAGTAGGTTAATTTTTTTTTTTTTTTTTTTGACGGATGATGTTTTGCAGTAGCCACACTGATGCTTATATCACTGAAAGGTGGATGTCTCGGCGCAAGCTTTTGCCTGACTGACACACGCATGCCATGTGACGACTCAGCTGTCCCACATTGTCCCTCATTGGTCCATCTCAACCACCAGGAAACCTCTGCTTATACCGCACACAGAAACATCTAGCCTTTCCATAGTGCCAGCACATCATCATTACTTTCTGGTCTTGCCTCTGTTCTTTTTACAGCAGCCCATTACAGTGGAAGATGTTCACCCTGATGCCAATGTGATCCTAAGTACGTACACACAAGAATCCAGGCCCTGATGGTGAATGTCAGCACTCAGTGATAAGGGGTCATTCAATGAAATCGGATTTTTAAAAATATATTTTCTTTAGATTAACATGAAAATGAAAATATGAAAATTAAAAACTCTTGCAGGGAATTATCCACCACACAGAAGGTATTCATTCGTTGGACTGGAAGGGAGAGACACACACTGTAGGCAGTTGTCAGCAAAAAGTTTAGCTGACAGAGGATGGAGTTGAGTTACGGATGGCCCTGAAAGCCAGCATCTAGAGACTGAGCTGTTAACTGGTAGTCACAATGGGTTCTTGAGTAGGGGAGTGATATCATGAAGGCTCTATTTTAAGATCCCTCTCACAGTTGTATGTGTATGATGATTTAGACAAAGGTGAGGCAGGAGCCAAGAAGACTGGCTAATAGTCCCTTCTACTATAAAAATTCTAGCACTTAAAAAATCAGTGTTCACCAACTGTGGTAGTCAACTGGGCTTTTTGAAACCTACGGTATAGGTTGTGAGTTGGATTTCATTTTAACACTTAGGGATTTATGATGTTCTTTTTCCTACTCCTGCTTGTCATTGATAAATGATACAACCTTGGTTAAGCCATTCATGTCCCAGCACCTCTGAGCCTTTATCTATCAAACAAGAGAAAATGATATATACATTCTACCCATGTTATAAATATTAAAAATTACATATATATATATGAAAGCTTATATATATATATATATATATATATATATAGCTTTAAGAAGCTTCAAGCCTTCACAGAATAGAATGAGTTTATACTCTTTAGACTATACTTTAGTGTTATAAGAGAGCATTCAAACTGTTGCAAAAAAGAGAGAGTATTATAGCTTTTTGACTGCACAACTATATTGTAACAGCATCAAGAGAAATTTTGAAAATAAATAAAAGCCATCAGAATTTCACAGCTACCAAATAGCAACTTTTTATTTTCCATATTTCATGCTAGTTCTAGTTCACATACACACACACTATGTATTTACAATGCATAGTGTACATGTATTGTCATATTTGGCTTTTTTCACATATACATGAGCATTTTTACATTTTACAATGTAAAAACTATAACAATTTATAATTACAATTGTTCATAATTATAATTTTATAATAGTCCATCAAACTGATATGCCACAATTTACTAAAGTAATCCCTATATTGTTTGAAGCACATCTATGCGTGTAACATGTTTTTTGCTTCCCTTCCTTCCTCCTTCCCTTCCTTCCTTCCTTCTTTCCTTTTTAGCATGGAAGAGAAAAAAGAGACAGATTATAAAGCACCAGGAATGGAATTATTGAGGCAAAGAGAATGAATATTTTTATTTCTTTTAAAATAATTTATCAAGCTCTCTCTTTCAAAATTGGGAGATACAGGTTTTAGAAAAAGCAAACTTTGGAGTCTGATTGAAAACCCTGCACAGGCAGAATCCAATCAGTAGAGCCCTTCATTGAAATTCTTCATTTCTGACACTTGGTTTTCCTTCATAGCAGGGAAGAAGCAGGATGTGCTTTCCAAGTCCACCCTGAAGAGGGTTTTGAGCAGTATTATTTGGAAACAGGGGTTTGTTGACTAAGTTAAGCAAACAGGTTGTTGAACCAGCCCAGTCATAGGTACAATTCAGAGTTAAGTATAGCCTTAACCCCTCAGTGACATCAGTTGGACATCAGTTTGAGAAAATTTTTAATCCCAGTCAAATGAGGTTAGGATAGTGTATTAATTTGCAGGTAGTTCTCCAATTTAGGAATGAGCCAAGGTTTGTCTGCCTGCTTGCATTAATCATTTGGGGACAGCTGCTGGAAGCATAGTGCTGGAACTGGGGATGCCAATCTTTTCAGAGAGCAAGTAAACAAGATTACCCGTGCCAGGAACAATCTTCAGCAGGAGCAATATCATCCTGCTCCCCTAATTTTTTTTTTTTTTTGTAAACAGTCACATTCTTGAAGATTAGGAGCTGTGATCTGGGACTTGAAAAGTCTGAAGCTCTGCTAGCCCAAAGTCCATGAACTCTGTCATACAGACCACTGAGCTGCCATCAGAGAATTCAAACGGGCTCATGATGCAGCAAATTCTCTTCTGTGTGCCACAGTTCTGGTACTTACCGAACTGTTCTGTAAACAGCATAAATATTAACTTTGTTATGTGCTAAGCCAGGGTTAGGTAATACTGAAATAGTAATGACAGTCACTGAAAGCTAGATTTAAGTCAGGTAAATGATAAAAGGATTTCCATTTTGTTAGTTGCTTTTGATGGGCAAATGGAAATGTCTGTCTGGAGGAAGAAGCAGACAGGAACATCAGTCCTCTAAATACATTGATTCTCAACCTTGGCTGACTTCAGAATTCACCAAATACAAAAATCTAGGCCTTACATCAACTGAATTTGAAATTTTTGTGTGTACGTGGGGAGGTGGATCTTCTGGAATTTTGAATCCTGAATCAGAATCAAGGATCACTATTTTCACACTATAGCAAAAAGTGTCTGAGAAGTGGATTTAACTATAATTAATGCTTATTGCTACCTATATACCAACATTAATATTATTCATGGAAATCCTGCTCCTTGCATTCTTAGCACTCGTCTCTTATCTGCAGCTCCCAATGTTTATTTCCCCGAGAGTTTCTCCCAAACCACAATGTAAATTTGGATAGGCACAGCCTATAATCTCATCTACAATACTAGTCATTTAGCTATTTTGAAAATACTGTCTCCTCCTTGGATAAGGGAAAGCACAATCTTTGCCAAAGGTGGGGGCCAAATGTGGAGCTCCCATTTCTCAGAGAGGCTGGAGGGGACTCCGGAAAAAGCAGAGAGGAAGATTTCAAATATTGGCTATTAGAATGCAAGGGACCACATTGCCTCTTCATCTTATGAGTGAGGGAATTGAGAACAGAGAGTTTGGAACTTGCTCAGGATCACATATTGCCAGGGACAGGGATAGTTGGGTCTCGAATTCAGGTCTACAGGTTCCCCTTACCTACATGGAGAGGTTTCACATGAGAAACTTTTAGAAAGGGCTGAAAACCATGACATACTAGAGCGTACTGTTGGTTCTGGTTTCAGTCACTACAGTTTTTGCAAATTCTACTAATCCAACAGAGCTTGTTTACAAAGCATTTAGCAGACAGGTTTCCAGTTCTTTAAACCAGAACCTCCCTCCCCTCAACACACACTCACTCCTTTAGACACTCCATCAAACCCTACCTCTAGAAATCAATTCCTCCCTTTGACTCAATCTTTTTAACCTGCAAAAGGGCCAAAGATCATTGGATCTTGGACACTCTGAAATGTAAGAAGTTAACCTTTTTATGCCTCTGTATAAGGGTACTTTTCTAGGTTTGCCACAAACACCCTTGATTTTTCACTATGTGACCTCTGCAAAATTCTCTTTTCAGATTATGTATAGATATGCATATTTCTAGCCATAACCTTTCTGGAACAAAAACAATCATAGCAGTTTTCTGTGTGCTTATGTAGTCTGCCAGGATTACATCATGTGGTTCTCACAACAACCTAGTTATGTAAGCTCCATTTCTCAGATGAAGTAACTGACAGACTGGGTTCTTTGTCTAGGTTGAACGTCTAATGAGAAGGAGATTGGAACCAAGGTCTCTCTGATTCCAAGGCTGAGTCCCTAACCACTAGGACCATAGCATGCCTCATCCCACAAACAATTATTATAAATTCATTTTTATTTGGGTGAGGCATATAAAAATCACCATATATTTTTTTAGGTCATCTTCAAACAGAAGGCATTTTGCCCCACCTTGTATTTATCTGAAGAAACAAGTACGGTGAATTATTTCAAGAACAGCTAGAATTGCCATGAGCCAATAACAGATGGAAGTCACTGCTAGAGCATGGTAAAGTGGTAAGGACCCAGAGATATGGATGGGAGTGCCATCAGCATCTGCTATATTATCTATTCAATATTGTATGCACTGTGCTAAAAACTGCAGTTACAAAGTTAAATAGAATGGATTTTCTTTCTTTGAGGAACTCATAGTCTAGTGGGGAAGCCAGGCTTATAAATGGATAATTTCAATATAATCAATAGTCAATTAGCATGATTCACAAGGCACCTTTTGAGCAGAGATGAGTTAATGAATCTAGCCTACGAGGAAGGGATGGCCAGACCAGCCTACCTCAAGGGAAGACCCATATGCTAAGCCTGCAAGGAGGAGGGGGAGCTAGCCAGACAGAGATGATTGAAGAGCAGATGGGGAAAGGTATTACAGGCAGAAGGAATAGCATAAAGGACAAAGTCTGGGATAACACATGAGGTGCAAAGGAACCTTGTTCAGATCCATATATTAACTTGTAGAGAGTGAGGTGGGAGGTACGTTGGTGAGCTCACAGGTGGCCTTAGTATTATGC